ACGGTGTTGTCGCGTGAAAATGGGGAAATTTTCCTTGTGTATAGAGAGTAATTTGCGGGAAGTGAATAGCCTTCTCGCGTTTCACAACGTCCACCCGCAGGTCCGTGCAGATGTGCAACGACGTCTGCAGCGCCTCGCTTACCGCGTCTATGATCACATTGGAACCCTTGTACCAGGCCGAAGTGAGCCTGCAGAGGACGTCTGTGCGGCCGTGGTACAGGAGCTTGTCGAGAATACGATACAAAAAGCTCTTCCCAGCGTTGAACTTGCCGCAGAAGAGAGGCGGTCGGCGGCGTTTCAACAGCGCACGAGAGACCTTGAGTTTGAACTAAGCAAGAGTGAGCAGCAGTGCCGTGAATTGGAGGAGAGCCTTGATCGTTTCCGTAAGGCGCATAATTTTATGCTGCGTTGTTACTTTCGTGAGGTCCTCTTGCTGCGATACCAGCTGCAGGACGCCATGTGGAGGCGACGACGGTCGCATCATTCCCAGGCACAAGGTGGGCATTTTGGTGAAATTTTCAGTGATTCCATGTCACGGGGTTTGCTGGCCGTTATTCCGGAAACCAAGACGCCGAAGTCGGAGTATGCGCTTCCGACGATACAAGCATCGTCGAACCTGTCAATTTCGGAAGCCGTTCAAAATAACTCCACATCTTCTGGCAGCGCTGAAGCCATAATGGACTCCGAACCCCAGCTCTCCACGACAAGTGAATTGGGAAAGAATAATGCGCCGTCGTTGCCGTCGACAACGGGGGCTGTCGCAAAGCAAAGCAACGCGGTCGTCAAAGTCTCATCGTTGACCCCAATGCCTACGGGAGAAGTTCCCGCAAAGCACGTCACACCGATACCAGCGGTCCTGGCAGTGGAGGGAGTCTCTTCGTTATCCCAACCGGCCGAAATGCCACATTCATCACCGTTAATATCAGGAGTGACAAGACCGAAGCCAGCCCCTAGGAAGGTAAAAACAAATTTTGTGACTGTGAATGCAGTTTCAGTGAAAGGAGTTGTTCAACTTAGGACGGCGTCAACGCAGACCATCCCGCTTATGGGTGATGACAGTGTGGGCGCCGTTTTTGACTATGAACGGTACATCCGGCAGCTGAACCGCCCTCGAAGAGGAAGTGCATCATCTGTCGAGGCTGAGATGAACAAATCACTCAAGCCTAAGGTCTTGTTGGAGGAACAGCGACGGCGAAAGGCAAGAAAGCTTCAGCTTATGACACAGAAATTTGCTCAATATCAGGAAAATGCTGCCAACGCAACTTTGAGCCCGAGTGGAAAGAAAAGTGGAATGCTCCAAGCGTTCATTTTACGCCGAAAAAACTCAGCGGCAATGGAGGGGAGGAAAACGCTACTGGAGGAGTTCAATGAAATTTATCTGGGTGTGCGAGGATTACGGGAGCAGCACTTTAAGGACATGGTGAGATTGAAAAAAGAGATGGACTCCATAGAGTCGAGCGTGGCCCTTCTATTGGGATTTTTTGGGACATATGCGGAAGAGGTAAGCCGTCTGGCAGCCGTCTTGTCGTGTGAGGAAGGGGCGGCGATTAGTACGATGAATGTTACAATGAAGAAGGAGGACGATCCATACCGGCGACGTGCGGTGATGGACTACTTCTCTGCTGCGGCCTCCGTGGGGGCAAAGGCGGTGTTGAGCTCAGAAAAAAGGGAGGATGAGGAGATGAAGGAATTTATAACGCTGGAAAAACAGGAGCAGCGTAAACGGCAAATTTTGTTTTGGGAAAACAACCCGGTGACGTTACGCGCGAAGGCGGCCTTTTTTGAGCTTCAGGCGGCAGCAGCGAAGCTGCGGGAAGAGTCCTCTTTTCGAAAAGGACGAAAAGGGGCGATGGAGTTTTTGCCAACTGTCATGGGATACGACGCGTTTAGTTCAGCTCTTTTCAAAGACTCGATCAGGGGCAAAAGTGAGCAGGAAGAAGAAGAAGGGAACAGGGCGCTTCTGTTACTTTCTCGGGAAGAAAAACTCAAAACTCTCGTTCAGCTTCGCATGAAGCGTATTTCCCATCGTGCTCGGCATCGTACTCAGTTGCGTCAACTTGCGGATGGCGCAAAAAGAGGGAAGAAGGGGGAATATCTGCAGAAAATACTTCTTCGGGCATCGTTACACGAGAAAACAGTGGAACGGCTGACACGGATGATTAATAGGCTGTTGCGTGACTTGGGTCTCTCTGGTGAGGACTTAGAGGCTGAACGGGCATTCTTTACGAAAAATCTCGCAAGCTCCCCATATTTATGTGAATCCGGAGGGAATTTGCGGGAAGACGAGGAGAGCGGGGTTGTGTATGTGCCTCTTCCAGTGAGCACGCGGCACGCGGGAGATTTGTGTGCAGCACTGTCCTCTAATCCAGCAGGTTATATCATGTTCAACGATGAGGTCATTCCCATTGCCAACGTGACTTATAGCGCGCGTACCGGTCTTCCTGATAACGTAGAACAATTAAGAGGACAAAGAAGTGCTGCCGCGGCAAAAGCAGGCGGGAGAGGTACGCGGCGTGTGTTACCATTTCATGGTACTGTGGTTGACTACTATCCTGGAGTGCAGTTGGGAAGTCCGTTAGGCGACAACCATGGACCGATGTACGTCTTCTGGGATTCAGACGAGGGGTCTTTTTTTCTTGTGAAAGATGGATTAGATGCTGAAAGAACTGCATCTCAAGGGGCGCCACCACTGACGGCGTGGCAAGGGCATCAGCAACAACTCGGACAGAAACGTAATGTACATCTCTCGACGATATTGTTGTCCCCGCCGTTGCCTGAACCTGAAAGAGTGAGACCGTTTGTGACTCACAGCTTAGGTGCTTTCGTCACATCGCCTAGGGCTGTGTCGGGGATAGAGACATCGCCCGTAGTAAATTACGCGTTGGAACGGGTAACTCCGGCTCCGTCTCTTGCTCTGCAAGAAGAGCGAGGCAAGCTGCCGTCGTGCTCTCCGCCTGCACCGCCCACAATCCGGCCATTTCGCCCAATGATTGTTGGGCCAAACAGAGAAGAGAGGGATCTAATGCGAATCGAGTCCCTGTCGGCGCGGCGGGGTGCGGGAGGGGCAAATAAAGTGACATCTTTATCATATGGAGCAGACACGGCACTGGCACGTCTTAAAGACGCCCAGCGCGAACGCCAACAAAAGACGGTTGCGTCATCGAAACAGACACCCAAAAATGGCAAAACACAGGGGAGAACACCGAACGATCATTTCTTCCGCATGCGGCTTCCTTATAAACGTTTGCCACTGCCGCCAGTCTTCGAGTAGAAGCAGCATGACTCTCTCCCGGGAGGGGTTTATTGCGGCCACATTCCATTTTTTACCGTCTTGCAGGGAGCAACGCAGGCTTGTGTGTGAAAGCCACATCTGAAGTCCTTTAGGATTTCTTTTTCTTTAGCCTTTTTGCTTTCCCTTCTAAATGTAAAGAATGAGCACGATGGCGTGCCCGGGGGCACCAAAACAGACACACACAGAAATACAGAAGCGGTTTTTTTCTTTTTTCTTCTATACCTTTCAATTGATCTTCCTCATACTTCATTTTTGCGTAACGTAATTATTTACATCGTTGGCACTGATAGACGTCTTTGTCGACTTAATAAATAAAAGCAAAAAACAAGAAAAAGGTGTAGTGACGAAAAAAGAAGGAAAAAGTATGGATGTGTGTCTCTGTTTATATGTATATGCTTGCTTCCCTCTCTTGTTATTTTGGTGTGCACGTGAAACGCATTATTATGATCCAACCACACTGCGGGAAATTCTCCTTCTCTTATTTGGATCTTGCGGCTTACCGGAACTTTTTTTTTTCTGTCGAATAGGTTTGACTGCATCGGTTGTGGGATTTGTGAGTGGAAAAGGTTTGGGCTACTGCGTCTGCCGTAAATGCTTGCAAAGAGGCCACTCACCGTAGAGCAGGCGGAGCGCGTTTGCAAGTGGTACTTTCGCGCTGGGTTTATTGGTCTTCCTTGGCTCTGGTTTGCCACGTGGCTTTTGTTCCGTCACCACGCCAATGCAACCGCCACAATTGCATGGTACACCACCAACTCGCTACGGCTGAGCCTTGCCGGGGGCCTTCTTTTGGCTGCGTGGTACGTGACTGCGCTGCTGACGCTGCCGGTGACGAGTCCACTTTTCGCCATTCCACCCTTCACGGGGAAGTGGCAACCGGGATACTTTGCACGTTGAGCAGCGCCGTGGAGTGAGGGGAATGAGGCAGCAAATTACTGCATACGGCTTCTCGGTCTCCCCCTTTCTCTTCCTGCCTGTGTTTGTGTGTGTGTATGGCAAAAGTTTAGAATTTTCATGTGCTTACTTACGAATCAATACAACCGGAAAGAAAAATGGAAACATATTTGATGCGGGAAGGTCCTTCAAATGCAAATAATATTTTTTTTTTTTGTGTGTGTTTATTTCCTTTTACTTTTTTTCTTTTTTTTTCTTTCTTTCTTTCTTTCTTATTTCTTTTTCTGTTTCCGTGTATTTGTGTGCACGTGTGTTTCTGCATTTATGCTTTTCTCTGTTCTCTATCTTCTTGCTGTTATTTGAATGGACGATAAGCCCTTCTTTTTTTTTTTTTTTTTTGTTTCCGTGGTACGCCGAGGGAATTCCCCTCCGTGCTGCAGCACCGTGAAAATACATCTCTCTGTATACATCCCCATAGAGCAAGTTTTAGGAGGGGGCGAGCAAATAAAGAGTGAAGGTATAAAAAAAAAAAAAGCAAAGGAAAAAGGGGATTTCATCAAATATTCCCTGAAACAACAGCAGTAATAACCAACCGAAAGGATATTCCCAAACATATATACTTTGCAAGCAAAAGCGGCTGGTTGGGTTGATCGTGCTGTTCTTTAACGATATTCCACAACCCATCCATTATTTTCTTGTGAGGACCATTAGAGTGACGCCATTGATTTTATTTTTTATTTTTTACTCTGCCGTGCGCCACCTGCTTATTTCTACGCCGCAGCTGCTTTCATTGTGGTTGTGACCTGTGCTGCACTAAATGAATCTGTCGGTCCAAAAAAAATCTACGAGCAGCCTGTTGCCTTCTACCTACTCGGCCTCCACAGACGGTTGGGCAAATGGGCTGTCAGCCGACACAAGCTTCGCAAATTCAAAGACGGTGGAAGACCGATTCATTGGCATTGTGGACTACAAAGAGTTTCTTCACAACCCACATGACATGTGTGCGCACGCAGCTGGCAGTGTCGCGGAGGCGCGTTACCGCAAAACGCTTGAGTCACGAATGGGACTAGGTGGCAGCGGTCTCATGCTGTTTCATGCCGGCGATCTTGCATCTAATTTCCCGCGTCTGGACCTAAATGGGGGCGAATACCACCCGTGTTCAGCAGGTTGTGCGAACCGAGGGGATAGCATTACGACGATGGATGGGCAGCTGCAATTGCCATCGTTCAATGCAGACCTCATGACGGAGGTGGCGCAGGAGCCAAACGATGGATTTTGTACGCCGCCATCGACACCCATAAAAAACCGCATTGAAGGAGCTCAAATAAGTTTCCCATCGTCTCAGAGAACAGCATCGACCTTTTCTTCACCGAAGCCCCCATTTACCGCGCATGTTCAATTGAATAACGGGTGTCATACTCCACTGGCGGTGTCGAAGAATTGGGGCATGGGGAATCAAGAGACTCGATCCTCCGGCATGAACGGGGGCTTTATCAGCGGCAGCCCGTATAGTTACTCCCAGCGTTGTGACACGCACCGGACAACGCCTGCCCTCAGTACGAATGGATTTTCTTCCCCACTGCGTGGGTCTAGGAGTGGTGATGTTGTCAGCACTCTTGCGACAAGCCCCCATCCAGGTCGCAATGCAACATTGCATTCATGCGCTTCACCACAACTTCGTACACCTGTAAGGCATGAAAATGATTTATTGTGCACACCGACTCAGGGAGGGCATGGAGGAAATATCACAGTTTCGCAGGGCGCAAGTCCAGTGTCACGAAGAAGTGTGTTATATTCACAACATGCAACACCTCGTCGACAAGGTGAGACATGCGATCGAGTTCTTAGTGCGGAAGGGCTATCTGTGTGTGATGACCAGGGACGTCCAAATTTTACTCCACTAAGCTGGGGTCATATGGGTGTCGTCGTTGCGTTGCAACGAAGTGTGTATCTTTGGCAAGAGTCCGGAAAAACGTATTTTCTTTTTGAAACCCCAACCGCGGCTACTATTGTGAGTGCCGTTGCTTCTTCAATGCGACCTACCGAGATGGGCGACGTATTTTTGGCGGTTGGTATGACTGATGGATTTATTACGGTGTTGAAATATTACGTGGGCGGCGATTTCATTGGATGTGATGCATCCCAATTCACGCCAACTGGTATCCTGTTGGAAAAAACAACACAGAGCTCATTTATGGGCACCATTTCTCATGTTAGCACTCTGTATCTTGTGGGACATTTTTTGTTTTCTGGTTGCATGGATGGCATTTTGACTGTTCGCAACCTTCGTGATGGATCAGTGATTTGGCATTCTTCTGGTGCATGTGCACAGATAGATTTCTCTTCTTACGCATCACGTCTAGCAGATTACAGTGTGGATGTTGGGGCACCCATATACAAAATAGAAGCAACACCCGATGGGGAACACATCGCCGTCGGAACAAACGATAGTCTCTTTGTTTACCAAACGAATTGTATGGGTCCAGAAAATCGGACAAGACGTCGAGTTGTTTTTTCTGGAGCTCCGCGACCTGTTCGTGCCTTCTGTTGGTGGTCTTTTCCATTCAGCTCTTCAAATGGTCGTGCGGCGGACGCACATCATGGTTCTGGCAGTGGCAGTAGGTTTGACTTTTTGCACACGGTTCTTCTTTACGGTGGTGGCAGCGATGGGTCTGTTCTCTCGGTGTACTTTGTTGGTAGTCGCTGCCACAAGACGACGTACCGCATGTCAGCTCCGATTTTGGGTATAGTGAGCAGTGAGGCATCTGAAGAGATTTTTGTTTCTCTCGATATTGCTGGCGGTGAGGTGGAAAACGTAAGCAATGCTGAGGAACTTGGGGTGCCGCCCGTCGTAGATGGGAACGTGCATCGCGTCGCTGATAATATCACTGTTGGCGGCTTTGGTGGCCCCGACGACTGGGCCTCGTCCGGCTCCTCCAGTGAAGAAGAGGGTCTTCCCCATGCTCCATCCGTCGGCCAACACCTTCCCATAGGTGTCTCGGGACGAGGAGGCCATAACCGCATGAATGGCAACGGTGCAGGCGGCATGACACTTGGGCTTTCTCCAGCACTGGCACGTCGTTTTATTCATCGTATGGAAGCGACGAGGGCACGACCACCGTTGCCACACATGACTCTCTTCCGTGAGTCCACGCAAGGAGCGGGGCTTCTGCAATTGTTTCAGCTGAAGGATGGCGGCGCCAGGTTGGAGCGGTTGAGTGGGTTTGTCGGTCCACACATTGCCTCGCTGTACATGGCACTTTCTCCCGACAACTCGCTTCTCGCCACCGCCGGGAGCGAAATGAAGTTGCGTATATGGCGAGCCTTTAAATTGAAGTCACCGGTACGTGGTGTTCGGTGTGAACTTCGCTGAAAACATTCTTTGAAAAAAAAATTATTTTGTGTTCTGTGTTATCCCTGGACCGCATAGGGCACCTCTCTAATTTGAGTGATGCAAACTGCGGTGAATGAAGGAGACAGAAAAGTGCAGACAAAAAAGAAAACCAGCTGTGAAATGGATCGACGATGACTGTCTTTCCCACTCTTTTCTCCCTTTTCTGTGAAGTACAGGGGAATGAGACAATGTGGCGGAGCGTGCAGGATGTGTTTCTTGGAACAAATATACATCCACGAAATACTTTTATTGGGAATGTGCTGTGGGCGAGTTTATAGTAATTGTTTATGTTATTTTTTTTCCCTTCTATCTCTTTTTTTTTCTTTTTTTTCTTTTTTTTTCTCTTTTTTTTTTTTTTTTTTTTTTCATCATGTTGTGTTTGTTTACACATATGCGCCGTTTTGATTGAAGCTTGACTTTCTTTTATCTTTTTTTTTTTTTTTTTTTCTGCTCTCAGCAGTCTCCCTCATGTATTTCTACGGGTGTACTGGCATGTGCATGTTATATGTATATATTATACTCTCGTTTTGCGCGGCGGGTCATGACTGCGAGGGAGAGAGGAAAAAAAAAATGTGCGAAGGCGGCGAGGAGTGAAATGCACTGGTCGCGGCAAATGAAGAGTTGAGAGGAGTTTTGTGCTCCGCGCACTTCCAGCCTTCTTTGCGTAAAAAAAAAGGAAAATGAAATAAAACATGAGGTGGACGAGATCGAAAGGGGATGAAAGGCGAGTGGGATTGGCCGGGGTTGTTGTGTTTCGTTGGCGCGCAGGGCATGTTTGTGGGGGGTCACCAAATGATGTGCCCCTTTAGGGAATGTCACCACCGCCGCAACTGCGGGTTTCGCACCGCTGCGTGAGTGGTGAGTTGAGAGGGCGGGCGGGTTGGACAATGAGGGATTTGTGTCATTTCACCGTCTCGTTTTGGGGCGATTTTATTGCGGCCCGCGCTTGTCAATTACACTTTTTTTTTGTGTGTGTGTGTGGACCTTTTGGTTTTTATTCCAGTGTGTGCTTCCGTCTTTCCCTTTTCCCCCCTTTTGATGCTTGTCTGCGCAAGTGTTCTGGCCGCCATGCTGGCCGTGTGTTTTTTTTTTTATCTGCTCAGGCTTGAGCTGCCCACCTTTTGCACGTGGTGCCTCCTCCACGTGTTCACTTCGGGCATGCTCACAGCGCAGGCGGGGCGGATGGAAAGAATAGCAGTTGTCATAGAGTGAAAAAGGAGGCTTGCGGGCGCAATATGAGCCGGAAAGTGATTGATTTTTTTTTTTTTGCTGGTTTAGTTGAACGAGTTGTTACTGTTTCTAGTTTAATATTCTTCTGTGTATATTTTATAATTTGGCTGTGCGTTGTCAATGCCAATGTGCTCTGCGCACATCGCCTACCGATTTAAACATAGAGAATAAAGAAGAGGATGGATACACATGACACGCGTGCAGACCTCCAAATGACTGCACAGTGTTTAAAATCTCTTTCTCTTTTTTTTTTTTTTTTTCTTCATTTCTGTTTTGTTCCTTTATATATATATATATATATATATATATTTATTCCACATTGTTTTGTTTTGTTTGTTTGTTTGTTGGATCTCTCTGCTGTACAGCTAACTCCCCTACCCTCCCTGCATCTTTTTCTCTTTTTTTCCTTCTTTTTGCTCCACACTTCATTGCGTACACACGCACATTCCCAGGGGAATGTATAGATGTGTGCATGCTTGGCGTGTGCCTTCTCCCTTTTTTTTTTTTTTTTTTCTCTTTTTTGATGTTTTTTTTTTTTCGTGGTGTTGTGTGGGGGAGAGAGGAGGCAGGGGAAGTGCATCATAGATCCTTTGTGAATAAAAAAAGGGGAGAGGGCGGAAGTTGAAATGAGAAAGGAAAAGAAAAAAAACGACGGTGGAGGCAATGGATTTTTTTTTTTTTTTTTTTTTTTTTTTTTTTTTTTTGAGGGGGGGGGGGGGGGGGAGGTGAAGGGAGAGAAGGGGGCATTGTGTTCACACTCTCTGAGACCATGTTTTCCGCCGCCATGACGGCTTCTCGCAAAGGCTTTTATCACATTTTGTGATGTCCATTGCGGTGTCTTTTCATTCTTGTCCTCCGCTGTACTTATTTTTTGTGGTTATTCCGTTTGTTTTTATTTTTGTGCTGCTTTTATTATTACTAAAGAAGAATTTTGGAGGAATGGGGGAGGAGGGGAAAACGACAGGGACAAAAAAGTATGGACGTGACTTGAATGCAGAATCAGGTGCTTATTATGCATTTTATGCATACATGTATTTATAATTTCTTTTCCCCCTCCCCTCTTTTTTTTTTCTTTCTCTTTGTTTGTTACTTGTACAAATTCCTGTGTGTGTGTGTGTGTGTGTTTGAGCCCCAACCTCCACCCACCCACCCCCCCTTTTTTTTTTTTTGGCGGCTTCTTCCTCTGTTTGTGGACTTTACTTTACGTTTCCTGTTCTCCTCTCTTATCTTTGTTTATTTCAAGAGGACATTGATTGTTGTGGCTCTTGCGCTTCGTTTTGCCACTGCTGTCATATTTTTGATGGCCGTGGATAAGTTGCCATTGACGCAGTGCTGCTTATTATTATTATTATTATTATTATTGATCACGTGCCACGTCGGATAAGGCAGAATAGAACTTTCCGGGCTAAATGTTTACATGTAGACATTTGTACACACGTATTGGTATGTGCATGGATGAATGGCTGGGTGTTTTTGGGTTTTCTTTTTGTGTGGGGTGTGAGTTGTGCATTTTTTTTGTGGCTATTTTTCCTATTATATATGTATATGTATATATCTTTTTTTTTTTTTTTTTTTTTTTTTTTGTCGCATCCAAGCAGCTGCTGTGGGAGGCAAGCCTGGAAAAAAAAAAAAACGAGGGGGAGGGGGAGGGGGGCCCGTTTAGGAGAGGGACGGTAGCGGACGCAGTCTTACCCACACATTTTTTTTTTTTTTGGCTGTTGCGATGACTTGGATGGCGGCATCCGAAGAACGACAACAACCGCCACGGAAGTCATATCAAAGGCGCCAGGTCTCTGCACTCAGTGCGTACCGGACCGCTTCGCCATGCAGTCGGAATGGCATTCCGAAATGCGCGGGGACGGTCTCGTGCAAAAGGGGCCCGTACCGCACTTTATCTTGGGGAGTAGGCTCGCAGACACCTGGACTTGTGCATTCACCGCCCCGTTACACACAAACTTTGACGCCACGCCAGAAAAAGATGTCGCCTGCCCCTGAGAAGCTCTTCTTTGCGAAATTAACCCCGAGCTCCTCTCTTTCTTCATCCCGTCCTTTGACACCGAAGCCGTGTGAGCAACCCCGTTTTGCATCACCCTCATTGAGACATTTTCACTACGCAAACTGTACGATGGTGAACTATGGCAACCGTGATGCGCATCATATATGCCAACCGAAGAGCCCAACGATATGCTTGGCATCGCTTTTGCATGGGCACCCGCTTGGGGATGACCTTGTTGACTGGAAAATTTCTAGGCGTCGCGATGACATTGGGGCACTGGTAGAGTTTTTGCTCTTGTTGAGAGACCGAGAGGCGAAGAATAGGCAACGGATTGAGGAAGAGGCGATCTCATTGCTCGATTCTCTGAAGCAACAGGAACGACAAGAGAGGACGACGGCATCTTTTAAAGAATTGAGACTTCCTGTTGCGCAATTGAAGTCGTTAAATTTTCTCAGCGCTTTACGGGCCAACCAAACCTCAAAGTATTTCGTGCAGCAGAAGGAGATTCTCAAGGGTTTCGCGGGACACACTTCAGCGCGGCAGTGGGAGGATAAAAAGCGAGGGGACGGCGACCATGGCGTGGCTGTGGAGCAGCAGCTTCTGATCTTTGACGAGGAGATGGCGGCGCGTAGCCTCATCGATATTGTAGAGGAAGGTTGTAGAGGGCGACTTATGCTTGCTGCAAATAATGGGACGCAGGTTGCCGAGAGCAAAGGACGAGTCTTTGTTGGAATAGATGAACAGATTGGCGAGAAGAGAAGGTATGGCCCAGAGAGGCCTCAGTTGAAGGAGGATGCAAGCAAGAATGACAGAACAGCAAACAAAGTGCGGCATCATAAAGGGGAATCACTGCCAATAGGGGATTCGTGGGGATCTGCGGATGCTCATTTCGATCCTTTGGATGTGTGTGTATGTGGCCAAGCTCTCAGCACGACTGCATCGGACACATTTCTTTCGGCCAGCAACGACCGCTTCTTCTTTGACGGACTTGGAAGAGTGGGTTTGGCATTGGCAAACGGCGCAGGGGAAGAGCGAGATGAGGAGGACGATTTGCGGGTGGTTTCATCTTTGAATTGCCGGAACGGGACGAAGGGCGAACGATACGATGGACTCTTCGTTGAAGAAGTTGGGTCCGAAGGCATGATAGAGCGGCCTGAGCAGAGTGACGTGGAGACTTTTCTCGACAGCGAGCATGCGTGGCTGGAAGAGGCAAGAGCGGGTCTTTGTCTTGAGGAACAGGAAGCGCGAGCGGAAATCATGCAATTGGAGGAATACGGCATTGCACATCTGGAAGAGAACCGGTGTAATTGTTGGCTTTCGCGGCACGTTTCTGACGCCGTCTTGCTGCAGATGGAGAACATCATCCGTGAGGAGGAGTTGAGGAGAATTCACATTTGCGGCAGTCTTTTAGACACGGGAACCACCACAGACTCCAATGTTCTGTCTCCTCGTGAGTTGTCATCATCTTCGCACTTTCGCTTTCGTGTAGGAATGGAGCAGCGCGAGCGTGAAGCTCTTTGCAACGCCTTTCGTGACGGTCTACGTACTGCGGGGGAGGCGGCGATTGCCGCCCTTTTTGAGCAGGAGCAGCAGGAGCGGGCAAAGCTGGAAAGGGAGGCGCAGCCGAAGTACACTTCCGTACTGTGGGGGATGGTCTCCATGGGAGAGCGGCAGGAGATTCTTCTTGAAGAGCAGAGCGAGCGGGAGGGCATTGAGCACGAGGCGGTGGGGCACTGGATGGACCTTCAACTTCTTCATAAATTTCAATACACACGTCTGCTTACTGGCACAGGGCGCATGCCGCCGAAGAGGAGAGAAAGCAGGCCGTGCAGCAGCGATGCGGAAGGAAACGCCTACTCCTGGCGTTCATTAAATGGCGATGGCGATAGCGATAGCGATAGCGACGCCAACTCCGGTGTTTTTTTACTTCTGCCATCTCATTTGACGCAACGTGGTTGCATGACCAATTCGAAGAACACATTGGAGTACGCGAATTCGACGAGTGAGGACAATGGAAGTCCACGAATCTTTTTCACGCACGGGATTCAACCAGAGCCTGAAGCAATTCAAAAAAATTGTGTGGCTTATTCCTTCAGCACGTTGGAGACGGAGGAGTGTGAGGGACGCGAGGCGCTGCATTCGGACTGGCGCCGAGGATATGAAAATCTGTTGGAACTTGATGGCATGGCAACAAATGAATTCATGCGAGCCATCATGTTTTTTGACAGAATGCAGACGTTCCACACTTCTGCCACTTCAATGTAGATATATATATATATATATATTTGCGCATGCGCACAATTCTTTTTTGCCTGTGTGCGTCTTATCGTTCATTGCATTTGTGCATTTTTTTTTTTTTTTTTGCTGTTGTTGTTGAGGCATTTTAACTTTTCACAGGGGAAGGGAGCATGGATACTAGAGGGAGAGAGGGGGAGTGAGCATGTGTTTTTCTGTGTTTGTCTGTGCGAAAAGCTCCCAACGATAAATAGAGTTGAGTTGTTGCTTGCGCGTGAATTACACGGAGAAAAGCAATGATTGTGCCATGACGCGATGGAGGCTGTCTCTATTTTTTTTTTTAAATCTGAAAAGTTATATGTTTGTTTCTTTAATCTGTTTATTTTGTGAAACGGATGTGGATGCAAACACAAACGTTTCTGTGTGTCTATGTGGAGTCAAAGGAAGGGAGCGGTAGATTAAAAGAAAAAAGTATATAGACATAGACGGATAGTTATCTTAGAGGGTGTACTCCCTTTGGCGGGAGCGACGATGTGGCGCCGTGTTCTCTTCTTCTCCGCATCGCTCACCGTCGCCCTGCGTCACACCCATCGCCTCACCGTCACAAGAACAACAACATCGACGAAAAACTCATCACCGGGAACAGCGACGCTGTGGTGTGATGTCGCGGTAGCAGCACAGCAGGTGCCGCTTGCCACTGTGGAAGAAATGTTTGGTCGCATAGAAGGAGATGATTATGACGAGAAGGTCGACGAAAGTGCGCCGCATCCCGCTACGGCGAGTCTCAGAGACGGCCGGGATGCCGTGGAGGAAGAATTCTTCGAGTGGCTGGACGACGAAAACAACACCGCCGCAGCAGGGACGGGTGACTTGAGCTTGGATGGCGTCATGAATGCCGCTCTTGCCGAGCCAGGTCTTGGGGATGAGCGCAATGCGTCTGACGAGTTCGGTGGAAATAGTGACACCAACAGTAGTGATAGTGTCCGTGTTTCTCACGGCAACGGTGCAGGCGGAGGCGAGGGAAAGGCCGTGAGCCGAATGGATGACATTCTCGCGGAGGAGGCTGATGATGATTATGATGGCGTGGTTGCCGCAGGCGTGTCGGATGTGCTTTTTGACGATAATAGCGGCAACGACGAACGGGAGGATCATGTGGATGACGTCGAGGATGACGACGCATCCGCAATCCCCGCTGAGGAGGAGGAAGAGGAGGACCAGGTGGAGCAGCTGATTCGCGCGACTCAGAATGCCGAGTCCGCAGCGGCTCTATTCTTTAAAGACAAACAGCGGGTGGTCAAGGCCACGGTGGCAACACCTTCATTTGACGACGCGGCGGCTGAGGGGGCCGAGTTGGAGATCGTCGGAGAAGTGATGCCGTCACCGCAGCGGTTTTGAGACAACGGGTGTGCTCCCACAAACAAGTGATGACCAGCAATTATTCTTTTCTCGTTCAGGGTAAGAAGTAAGAAATAAAATTTTTTTTTTGAATTTTTTTGTTTTGTGTTTCATTGCGCGTGTCTCCGCTTTTTTTGTGTTGCCTTCTTTTAATTTTTTATTTTTATTTTGGTGATTGTTGTCTTTTGAGTGTGGGTAACCGGCTTTGGGTGGAGGCTTGAACCCCGTACTCTTCCTGCTCTCTACCGCGGCCAAAAAGAAGGGCACGAAGAACCACAATACGTTGTAGGCGTAGAGGGGTGACGGCAGCGTCAAAGGGGTTGCACGGCCTTGGCGGGGTGGTACCGGGCAACTGTTTCTTACTGTCGGTATTATCTATCTATATATCTATATATATAATATTGTGGGGAGGGGAGACAGTAAAAGGGAGATTGTGGACATAACGAAATCGTCATATTCACGTACGCGGGCACTGGAAGAGAGGAGAAAGAGGGTGTGGCTGGTCGTGAATGATTCGCATCCAACGCCTATGGACGCAGAGGAGTCCTTTTGGTCGTTCCAACGTGGCGCTTCGGTTTTCTGTTTTTCATCGTGTTGCATCAATTGCCAGTAGTTGTTGCTCCCACTCCGGTACAATTTTTTTTGCGGTACGATGCGTGCAGTACGAACAGACTTCCGCTACACTGCGTGGGATCAACAAGAAGAAGCGTGCTATTTCAGCTCCGTGGATTACAAAGAGCACAAAGGATTACATGAGCGAGGCGGATGCGAAGGCGACTGCTATTAATCCGATAAAGGAGAAGCTTTTGCAAAATTCGAAGGAACGCAAGGAACGGTTTGTGCGTATTGCAGAGGAGACAGATCGCGTGTTTGACTCCGAAATGGATAGGATGCGGGATTACAATGTGCGGCGCTGGCGAAAGGGGATTAATTTCTTTAAGGCACAAGGCCTGGGATTCACGCTGCTTTACATTTTTGCCTATCTGGGTTGTCTTGTTGCACTTTACGTGGGCTTTGCGACGGGAATTCTCAAAAAGGAAACGGCGTATGAATTCATGTTTTTTTTCTTGGGGGGTTACGTGGACAAGGAGTGGTTTTACATGCGTGTGGAGGCTTGGGGCAAATACGTGGACTTTGGCTTTGCATTCGTGATCAATGAAATGCTGGAGCTGTTTCGTTTCCCGTTTATGATTTACACCTTTTACACATTCCGGCCGTACCTGACGGGGGTGAATAGACGTGTGAAGGCATCTATCTTTCGATGGAATGCAGCGGAATCATGAGGAGTGGTGAGGAGTGAGTACTACGTTGTAATTTCCTTTTTTTTTTTTTTTTTGTGTGTGTGTGTGTGTCTTCGGGAGCGGGTAGACTTGTGTTGTGTTGTTGTATTTATGCCTCATTATATTTGACTGCCTCTTTTTCTTTTCTCTCATGGTTTTAAAATTGCGCCTCCTAGTGGAGTTTGCCAACCGTGCTTGCAGCAAAAGGGAAGGAAGCGATTGTTGTTTTCTTTTTGATTTTACTTCTTTGTTGTTCCGCCACGCGCAGCCACCATCCCCTAACTCGCCTTTTCTTGTTGTTGTCGACGCTTTTTTTGTTGGCATCCGTCAGTCAATTTTTTTCCAAAGACCACTCGCCTCGCCATGTACTACGCGCAACAGCTGCGGCAGCCCACATCTGTGCTGGGGGCGCACGGCTTTACGACGGAGGTGGCCGGTCGTGACCGCGTGCGGTTTTTTCGCCGGCCCGTTGAGGCGCGCAGTATTCCCACGTTGTACGCGGATATTGACAATGTCCGTTTTGCTAAGAGTGAACCCAGCACGCCAACACCGACAGGGAGCCAACTCGCAGCTGCCTTATTTCCACAACGCACCGCTTCGGCGTCGGGGCAGAAGGCGCGGCCGCACCACCTGCCCGCCATAAAGAAGCGGGTCCAACACGCTGGAGCGGGGACGTCAAGGAGTTTCACCACACCCATGGACGGAGCCGGAGTATCACGTGACGTAGGGATGCAAACCGTGTATCGCGAGAACGAGGCACAGACAGTCCCATATACGCCCGAGTATTACATTCCAGAGGGCGGGGACCCCAATCCGGAGGTGCTGGGCATCCGTCAACTGAAGTGGAATGACGGCCTGCCTGCCGGTATGGAAGAAGTGGAGCTCATTCAGCGACTGCGGCGCCGACGCGCTGTGGAGGCGTCACTGCCGCCAGAGACAGATGCGAAGTCCGCGGAAGAGCGTTACCGCACCCTGTATGAACTGGAAAAACAGGAGCGAAAGGAATGTGAAGACCACATGGCCAAAATTCGCCAACGCCGTCTTGACAGCATTCGTGATGCTCTGATGGAGCGAGAGCGGGCAAGGGAGGAAGCAAATCTTCTTCGCTTAGAGAATGTGAAGGCACAAAAGCTTGCCGGGTTGAGGCGTACCATTGAGCGGACGGAGGTGAAGCGCATTTTGAAGGGTCAGAGGCTGTTGGAAGATGAGGCTTCTAAAACTGCACCCTCCGTAGCCTGTGGAATGTGCGCGGTGGATCCCATTGATTCGCACAAGCCAAAGAAGGATCTTATTGAGTTTCACTCCAAGTACGGCATGTTTGCCACTACACCGCAGGTTACACACGGAAGGTCAATTTCACCCGTAATGAAAGAGCCTTCCGATCACTTCCGGCAATACGATGTAAGACCGACCATGCTTACGCTTGAAGAAGGTGTAAAGGAGCTGGAGGAGACCAAGGTGCCACGCATTCAACGGATTCGAGCGGATGCCTTTGTGGCCCCGGAAAATTACGCCATTAATTCCCTACCAACTCTGTACCAGCGGCGTGAGGCAACACGTGTTGTGGATGCTCTTGAATATGTCAATGCGAAGATTCATAAGCAGGACTCCCCGGAAGAAAAGATGCGCATTATGGAGCTATATCGCGCCACTCCACGTCTCCAACGTCCTGACACACCCGAGTTGGAGCTTGAGGACGATGAAGGAGAGGAGTTGGAGGAAGCCTGCATTCTTCTTCAGCGCCTCCTTCGGGGTCGTGCAGTTCAGAATGACTTCTTTGATGGCAAGGAACGATGCCGTGGACTCATCGAAGAACTCCAGGCCGCGTCAAATGCCAAGTATGCCGAACGCAGTCCGGAGGAGAAGGAAATGGAAGAGAGGGCGAAGCGTTTTGAGGCCATTGCTGAGAGTTTGGGGGATGCAGCGCAGGGTGATATTATTGTGGAAACCCTAGATTACCTATTCCATGAACTAGAGCGTCAACGAGACCTTAGCAGATTGGAGGAACTCCGCCGTGAGGCAGAGGCTGTTCGGGCGGAGCGTGAGGCGAAGGAGGCTGAGCTCCGTGCACAACAGCGTATCCTTCATGACAAGGAGGCCGTGCAATACGCCGCCTACATCCGCGCCATCGAAGACGTTGTTGAATGTTACTCGCACCAGCTGTACACCACCTCTGCGGAGGAGTGTGCAATGGAAGAGGCAATTGCTGCGGAGTGCAGTCGCCTGGAGAGGCTTCCGACGCCTGCAAGGGAATTTATAGATGCCGATGCAACAGAAAATCTGGTTTGCGACATGCTTGACAGTTTTGTGCTGCCGGCTGTGGTGGACATGGTGTGCCTCAGGCAGGAGGAGTTGGAGCGGAAGGCCCCTGCGGCCGCGGCCTTGGAAGAGGCGAACGGGACTATTCCTCCGAAGGAAACCGACGAGAAACCCACGTAGACCCCGCGGATATGTGTAGCGGAAACCAAACAGAGTTGGTCTCTGCGGTGGGTGGAGCGAGCGGAGGGGACGAAACGGGAAGGAGAGAGCGAGATGGACGTCAACACGAAGGCTGCGGCCGCGACAAAAAACGGAAGGAAAAAAAGAACCGCAGTATCGGGCGAAAAGGAAGAAAAATAGAAGAGTAAGGAGGCAAACAACAACGGAAAAAAAAAAAAAACATTAGCATCAAAATTATATTTTACAACATCAATGCTAGTCACTTCATTATACGCGTCTCCCGTCCCCCTGATGTAAATACTACTCATCTAAACACAGACGTGAAAAAACACCCACCCACAGGCGTGTAGGAGCGAGATAAGGGGGGAGGAGGGATAACGAAACACCAAGTTGTGTACTCCATTTACTGCACGAGTGCAATCTCGGGGATATGGGGGCAATCAACGGGTTCTTTTTCCCTTTTACCATGTATCATTTTGGGTGGTTGTGCGGTAGCCCCGTACATTTACTTCTTACGGAGAACACTTGTGGAGGTAATGTGCCCCGTTTGTTATGAATTTCTTTTCCGCGCCGTCACCCTTTTGTATTCCTTCTTTCCTTTTTTTTGTTTTAACACTTGTATTCACAACAAATCTTTTCTTCTTCTGTTTGTTGTTCGTGTCTTTTCCTATTCCTTTGCCTCTTTTTTTCTTTTGGCTCTCAGTGGACACGAACACAGCGCTAGGTTTACAATCATAGGGAGAATGCAATACCACTCGTGCAGGCGTTCGGGACTGTTGCTTGAGAAGGGCATGCCGGCAAAGCGAACCAGGCAGGAGGATGTGGGTCTTTGTGCTGATGTTCTGCCGCGGATGGCGACGGTGTTAATGGAGGAAAGCGGCGTTGATGTCGGCAAGGAGAAAATTCCGCACTCCTTCAAGGTTGGCGGCAATTGTCACAACAGAACCTCATTGATAGCATCAACCATGAAATCATCGTCATCATCATCATTAGTATTGTCATCATCTTTATCATCTTTATCGTCATCTTTCTCATCGCGCTCCATTTCACCTGTTTCTCCAGAGAGAATTTCACTTCCTCTCCACATTGTGAGCCCCATGGAGAGCGGCAACAACAGTCAAGTGTTTTTGGCGCGGAGGGCTAATGAGGGTGAATTCGCACCTGCTGAGGATCGTGAGGCGGCTCCCCGGAAAAAACATCAATCACGAGCTTACAATCCTCAACAATGTGGAGAGGCTGATTGCGATGGGACCGATGCTGGAAATACAACGACGGCAGAAGACGCATTTATGGCGCTGAAGTTTGTATCTTCGTCTTCTAGTCACATGCAGCGTGAGATATATTGCTTGAGGTATTTGAACCGCTTTCGTGGGGAACCGAATGCAGAGGCCAATGATGAAGTTAACGAGGCACCTAATGGTGGCCAATGCACTGCATCTTTGCTTTTGCCTACACGTTCTTTCCCACCTCCTTGTCCAAAACTTTTCTTTACTCAGGAAGTAGGGGGTTATGTCGCAATCGGGTTGGAGCTCTTGGGTCCTGACCTGTTTGCCTTCACAGAGAGATTTGTTTTATATGAGGAGGAGTTATGCGTCGTGGGCATTGAGCTCTTGCGGGCGCTTAGCGCGATTCACCAGCTGGGCGTGACTCACCGCAGCATTAAACCCGAGAACTTTTGCTGGAACTCCAGGGAAATCCTAAACAATGCTGCAAATAAGGATCGCGTTAGTCACGACAAGAGCGGGTCAACAAACTCTGTTGAAGATGTACCTGTTTTCATTTTCAAGATTATTGATTACGGTCGTGGTAGTGTCAACACCGGTGACTCTCCGCCAATGCCTTCCCTGTACGAGCGACCCTACAGGGGATGGTGGCATAGTCTACGTGGTCTCTTGGGGAAGCCGATGGGACAAAAAGATGATTTAATGGGCGTTGTTCACACCATTGGTTATCTTCTTGACGATTACGAAAGCAATGGGGGATCATTGAGTGTGTCATCACGATCTTCCTCTCTGAAACGAATGGACAATGCAAAATGTGATCCAATTACCCGTACTACCACCACTAATAATACTACTAATAGTACCAATACATCTTTTCTTGCTGGCGAATCATCCACGGAAAGCTGTGCTGCTAACAATTGCCGCAGCGAAAAAAACGGAATTTTAATTCAGCGAAATGTAAGAGGGGATAGTCGTGATAGTTTATCAGTAAGCTCATTGACAAGTGATGGAAGTGCTTTACAGTCTCGTCGACGCTCGTATTCGTCGTGGCGACGCCACTTTGCCGACAGGATCGCCATTGCGTACCGGGCTGCGTCAAAAAGCTACCGCCGGCTGCATGGCTCTGAGCAAAGGGAGGGGACACATGGTCGTGGGAAAAAAGTGGCTCGCGCGGACCGAAAATTGCCGGATGCCGTTGATCGGCGCAATGCCAAGAGGGCCTGGATTGTCCGTCATGTCGAGACCGAGTACCTGCCAGCGATGCTGCCTGATCGCTACTACCCTCCTACCATGCCGCAATGGTGGGCAGAGTGGTTCGCCGCGTGTAACGCATGGTGCAGTGATGATGCTGTGACAGTGGAGGAGATGACGGCGTGGATGACGGAGCGAATGCAGCAGCAGATTGAGAAGATGGGGGATACTGTCGAGAGGTTGCGGCAGGACCTCAAGGATCTGTACGTGCGCTATCACGAAGGAAGGGAAGACTCTTGAGTTGAATGGTTTAAAATGACAAGGACCGCCCCAATGAGAGATGGGATGACAATTGGCACAGCTATAGGAGCAGCGGGTTTGTTTATCATACGTAATGCCGGCGCATCTACAAAGGTGGCACTTTTTTTTTTTTTTTTTTTGACGCATGCATGCACATATTTGTATCTTTCTGACACTCTTCTTTTGCTTCGAATAAAAAAAAAAAAATTTTTTTTCTTTCTCTTTTTTTTTTTTTTTTTTGCTTATTCCGAGGCTTTCAGGTTGCGTTGTTTTATTGGGAGGGGGTCTTAAACCCTCTGACGGGAAAGCACTGGCACACAACACACATGAGACGTGGCGGCACCCATTTGCCTCCCTCTGCCTTTGTGCCGAAGTTAAGTATCAACAGGAGCGGGGACTCGCTGCCTGAGCGCCCTGACTTGGACGCTTTGGGCAACGAAAGGCATGATCCATTCACCACCAACTCAAATGCCACTTTGGGAGGATCACGAGGCTGGAATGCGTTCACCAGCGCTGCCGCCACCGCCACCGACAGCATCAACAATAACAACAACAACAACAGCAGCAGGTACACCAACAACAACGAAACAATAAGTGCCTATGATCAAAGCTCCCCGACGCCACACAACACGAGTGCGCTTTTCTTTGCAGGAACTTCGAAGTTGAAGGTGTCTGGTAAGAGTGTTGACTCCTCGCGATTGGATGAACCGTGCCACGGAAACATAATTAAGGGGTATGCCAGTGCCAGAAGCAACAATGATATTGGGAGGGCAAACAAACGGAATGAAATCAATAGTGGCTTGGCGACTTTTGCCAAGCACGACGATACGCGTGGCCCGGTTTCTCGAGGTTGGCAGAGGGTGGCCCACCATTTCATGCATGGTAATCTTCGAGGTGCTTCTGCACCCGCTAAAGCAGGGCGAGCACTGCGCGGCGACATGGGAAGAATCACATCCAGCACACCGCATTCCTCATCGTTCGAAGACTCTTTTTCCTCGTCCACATCGGAAGATTCAGAATTGCCGTTTAGGGATTCGGCCCTCTTTGATCTGGACGTAGAACCTGTTGTGCCACCGGAGGTCTTGTGTGCATCCCAATCGCACGTCTTTGCATGGGCGCGGCATCCACGTCATGCCATTATTTTAAGTTTGTTCCGTAGCCGCGGGTTTGTTTTGCCACGGTACGCTGATCTTGTGGAGTATCACATGTCGGAGGTGTTCCTTCACTACATTGACCTTTGCTGCCGGGGGGCATACTTCGTCCGCTACCAGGCCAAGTCGTCGCCAAAGGAACGTTTCTTCAGTATTCGCATGCTTCCCCGTGACATGACAACACGATTCTCAGAGAAGATTCCGTATTTGGCGTGGACCATGCATCGCGCTGGAGTTCAACTTGCAGGCTGCGTCCCTCTAGAGCAGCTTGTGGGAATCACCGTCAACACTCGCTCGGCGTCATTTCGGCCAAACTTTTTGTCCTTGCACACGATTCGAGGGCCACGGGTCGACAATCATCGCCTGAAGCTTCCGACTGAAGGCGGATTTTCCCTTTGGTTTATTGACCGTCACCATGGCACCGCGAGGAGTGTGGACCTCCTTACATGTAACCCAACGGTACTAGACGTATGGACAAAGGCTTTTAAGGGCTTAGTGAGCGTGAACAGCTCTTCTCTTGTGCAGGTTCCTCTAACAAGTGCGGGTGTCTCTTCTGAAATGGAGAAGCTGACAAAAGAGGCGCAACAGCAGGTGGAGAAAAGTCTTCTTTAGATTGTGTCACTCCAAACACTTTGAAAGGAACAGCAACAAGTACAATTTTAACCTTTTATCGCTATATCTACAAAAACTTATGCGGGTCCATCCGTGTAGATGCATCTGCGTGGATACGCATGCCTCTCCCCAATTTGTGCTTATGAGGAGTTTGGTGCGCATGCTTTTGTGCCCCCCTTTATTATTTATTTATTTATTTATTTTTGTGTGTGTTAGCATTGTTGATGTGAATTGGGTGGCATTCTATTTATTTATTTCTAGCGTTTTTTTATTTTTGGCTTTGATGCACAGATGTGGTATGAACGTTTTTTCCTTTTGGCCTGATGCTTTACTATTTTTTTTTTTCTTTTTTTATCTTTTTTGTTGCTGGCGATTTTTTCTGTTTGCTTCAAGGTGGGGAGGAGGAGGACGGAGACGGCGAAACCAAATTTATTCCGGAAGGCCCGCACTTACACACACACACAGACCAAAAAAAAAAAAAAAAAAAGAACAGGATGAACACTCGTTTCAAAAAGTTGTCGCCGCTACCACAGAAGCCGTCTGTCAAATGGCACCTTATGCATGAGGAGTACTATCCGATTTTTGCACCAGAACGTCGCGAGCAGGTGGAGTATTGGTACAACAAGACAGCCACAGGCAGGCAACGCAATACATTTCGTCGCATATGCCAGGAGATGTACACACTAGACCCTGACAAGGAAGATCCGGTGTACACTGCAGAGTACACCTGCCAAGTGTCATTTTGTGAGGTAAGGATGATGATCAAACACTATGGGGTTGTGCTCTCCGATTTGGGTAAGAGACTGGCCCGTGTGTGGATTTTGCATGTCGCCACCCCACGGGAGAAGGAGATCTTTCGCGAGGTGTTTACGGGGGCACAGTCTCTGTTTTGCCCTGTGACAGTTATGAAGGCCGACTACACACCACCAGACGAGGATGCATACAAAGAGATTGACCGCACCAACTTCCTCTGCTCCGTTGACTGGACCAACTTGGAGGCTCAAGAAAAGAGAAAGCAGATCCACCAGCAGAGATTCTTCAGCAGGTCCTTAAGCCTCGCGTCGAATCGGCCGCGTGTGACAAAGCCAAAGAATCAGTTTGACGGAGTATCACCACTAGCTACTTTAGGATATGCCGGGGACAGTGAAGAAGCCATAAGTACACTTCGAAAGAAGCTTGAGGAAACCCGTGAATCGGACCGGTATTTCACCGTTGATGGGCACACTGTCTATATTGCGGGGGGACCAAAGAAGGCAAACCCCGTCTTCGCCGGCAGCAAAAAGAATGCCGTTATAGCAACCGTCTATGATGATTGATGAGAGCAAAAGGACGAGCGTCAATGCCAATTTTAGATGTAAAAATATTATTGTTTCTTTTTTTCTTTTTTTTCTGTTACTGGTGTATTGAAAATGTTACAACATTCCCTTTTTTTTTTTTTTTTTTTCGTATCCGTAATGTATTTTACACAACAGGGTCCTTCAGTGGAGTTTGTCTCTGTGTAGAAACTGTGTATACATGCTCTAGGAATTTCTCTTTACGTTTTCTTCCTTGTTTATTTTTATTTTTTTTTTTTAATTTTTTTTTAAATTTTTTGGTCCTCGCCACGAAGCGACACCTGATGGGAGGACGCACATTACAAGTGAAGAGTCGGCCCAATTAAAAGAAGGATGGAAGTGGAAGGCGTAGTGCAGTATCGACTGCTTGGCTCTCATCCAGCGGCTTCTGGTCGTTACCACAGCTTTGGATTTAGCGGCGAGGCAGTGCCTTTGGAAGCGCTGTTGCAGGCTGTTGTAAAGCAGCACCAGATAAACCTTACAAAGTACAAATTTGAGGTTCGCCGCCTTGTAACAGCTGGCGCAGAGCGTCAGGATGCCCAGTCGGCATCTAAAAATGCCGCTAATGACATCCTGCCGTCAGATGCTCTATTACGCACATACGACAGGATTGTTGTGAATGTATTGCGGAGACATTACATGGATGGGGTGACTCATAACGAGCAAATGACGGAAGAAAATCGTCTACAGCAGGTGGAATGTCTTTTACAAAACGAAGAGGCCGCGGAAGAATCCCAGACACTCGGCCCTCGTAATCAAAAACGTGAGCGCAGCAGCGAAGATACCGATGACCCACATGCTTTTATTCGTGTAACCACACTATCAAACAAGGCGTTTCCTCTGCTTCCTTGGCTTCGGCGGCAGACAGCCAATGAGAAGACACCAATTCCGAAACCAGTTAAGGGGATATGTGTTCTCTGTGAGCTCAAATGCTTCGCAGAGGTGGTAATTCCTTGCTGCCACTTCTCGGCTTGCAGGCAATGCTTAGAACTCGCAAAGGCGATGCTTACAAATGAGAATGAGTGTGCCGTCTGCGGTACTTTGATCGCTAAGCCCAACGCGTACAAAAAAGGACAATTTGCCACAACTACACCTGTCAAGCAGGAAGGAACGTCTACAAAAACAGTCAACACTGCCGTGCTTGGGGAGCAAATGGAAATTCATGGTGCCTACCGAGAGGAAGCCAATAGAAAAAGTGGCGAAGGCAGCACCCAGGGACGTTTCCACGATATTGTCGAAACGTTCGAGAGGGAACTAAAGAAAAACATGGCACGTGTGCTTTCTTTAATTGACGTCCCTGATCCTCTTAGTTCAAAGGCAAAAGAAAAACGGAAGATCAGCAAAACACTTTCTGTTTTTGATGAGAAGTGAAGGCGGCATTGTAGTCCATTTTGATTATTATTATCATTATTATTATTATTATTTTTTTTTGATCCACTCTTGTTGGGTGCTGTGAATGGAGGGCGCGCGGGGGAAATAACTTCCGCCAGGCTTCTTGTATTCTTATTCTCTCTCTCTCTCTCTATATATATATATATATACATATATTACCTCTCACTCGTTTTCTCTGGTTGCTGTCTTTGGCGAAGCTTGCGCTTTCAATCAATCCACAGCCAAAAAAAAAAAAACAAAAACAAAAACAAAAAAAAAAAACAAAAACAAAAAACAAAAAAAAAAACAACAACTTATATTGCAATTGCCACAATGGCCGACACAGCAGCTTATTCCATCAAGACGCACGTCGCAGTCCCACAGAAGGCGCCTTACGGCGTTGATGTGGAGGAAGGCAAGACTTACTACTGGTGCACATGCGGTCTGAGCAAAAATCAGCCCTTTTGCGATGGTTCCCACAGGGATTACAACGAGCAGCACAAGACGGAGCTAAAGCCCATGGCGTTCACCGCGAAAAAGACTGAAAAGGCGTATCTTTGCGGCTGCAAGCAGACAAAGAAACCGCCCTTTTGCGACGGAACGCACTCAAAGGTGTGATTTCTAGTGACAGCTATGTATTTTTCTTTTTTTTTTTCATGATTTTTTATTTATTTTTATTTTTATTTTTATTTATTATTATTATTATTATTATCTTTTTTTTTTTTTTTTTTTCCGGTACGTCTCTAAAGGGGAAAAAAATGACTGCATTATGAGGAGTATTATGTCCACCCGTTCAAGGGTGCAATGATTTTACAGACTTTACCGCATTTAGGACTTAATTTCTACTTATTATATACATATATTATATATATATGTATGTTTTTTATATAAGTGTTTTTGCCAGGGTTGATGGGGGTTTTTAGCAAATCTTTTGGCACCCGAGAGGGTGTGGGTGTGCTTCTCAAGTGGGGAGGTGTGGATGCGGATGCCAATTACGCGGCCAGTGTGTTACTCCGGTTTTTTTTTTTTTCTTTTTTCTTTTTTACACGCAGGTAAATTACAATTAAATAAAGTGACGAACAAACAATAAATGTTTAGTGCTATCCGCAGCGACTCGCCATCAGCCTCTTCTTACAAGGGCAGTGAGAATTTTTCCAGAAGTCGGGAAAACTCGCGTGGGTACATTGACTCCGATGCCACAAGTTCTGTCAGCTCCAAAGAAGAAGACCGCCTTGTCACTGGCCTCAGAATTGAAATAGATTTCCGTGAAGAGCGAATAAAAGAACTTGAGGAGTCATATAATCAGCTTTCGCGAAAGTCGGAATTTGACAAGGGTCAAATGCGGTCCCAGCTCCAACAGGCAGAAAATAATATCGCTAATTCCAAAAAAGAAATGACGAAGCTACGAGAAAAAGTGAAAAAGGCCGAGAAAGAAAAATTGGACGCCATTAACCGGGCAACCAAGCTAGAAGAGGAACGAAACCAAGCGTACAAAGCAGCACACAAGGCAGAGGAGGAAAAGGCCAAAACATTTCAACGCCTTATAACATTTGAGTCGGAAAATATTAACTTAAAAAAAAGGCCAAATGACGCAATTTCAAATCGGGATAAGAGAAAAAATTCTGAAACCGCAAAAACTGCCGAAGCGGAGAAGCAGAGGGCAGCGGAGGCCACGAAGGCCGTGGAGACGGAGAAGCAGAAGGCAGCTGAGGCCACGAAGGTTGCTGAAGCGGAGAAGCAGAAGGCAGCTGAGGCCACGAAGGTTGCTGAAGCGGAGAGGCAGAGGGCAGCTGAGGCCACCAAGGCCGTGGAGACGGAGAAGCGTAAGGCAGCTGAGGCTACGAAGGTTGCTGAAGCGGAGAAGCAGAGGGCAGCTGCGGCCACCAAGGCCGTGGAGACGGAGAAGCAGAAGGCAGCTGAGGCCACGAAGGTTGCTGAAGCGGAGAAGCAGAGGGCAGCTGAGGCTACGAAGGTTGCTGAAGCGGAGAAGCAGAGGGCAGCTGCGGCCACCAAGGCCGTGGAGACGGAGAAGCAGAAGGCAGCTGAGGCCACGAAGGTTGCTGAAGCAGAGAAGCAGAGGGCAGCTGAGGCTACGAAAGTTGCTGAAGCGGAGAAACAGAAGGCAGCTGAGGCCACCAAGGCCGTGGAGACGGAGAAGCGTAAGGCAGCTGAGGCCACGAAGGTTGCTGAAGCGGAGAAGCAGAGGGCAGCTGAGGCCACGAAGGTTGCTGAAGCGGAGAAGCAGAGGGCAGCTGAGGCCACCAAGGACGTGGAGACGGAGAAGCAGAGGGCAGCTGAGGCCACGAAGGTTGCTGAAGCAGAGAAGCAGAGGGCAGCTGAGGCTACGAAGGTTGCTGAAGCGGAGAAGCAGAAGGCAGCTGAGGCCACGAAGGTTGCTGAAGCGGAGAAGCAGAGGGCAGCTGAGGCCACCAAGGCCGTGGAGACGGAGAAGCGTAAGGCAGCTGAGGCCACGAAGGTTGCTGAAGCGGAGAAGCAGAGGGCAGCTGAGGCCACCAAGGACGTGGAGACGGAGAAGCAGAAGGCAGCTGAGGCCACGAAGGTTGCTGAAGCGGAGAAGCAGAGGGCAGCTGAGGCTACGAAGGTTGCTGAAGCGGAGAAGCAGAGAGCAGCTGAGGCCACCAAGGCCGTGGAGACGGAGAAGCAGAAGGCAGCTGAGGCCACGAAGGTTGCTGAAGCAGAGAAGCAGAGGGCAGCTGAGGCTACGAAAGTTGCTGAAGCGGAGAAACAGAAGGCAGCTGAGGCCACCAAGGCCGTGGAGACGGAGAAGCGTAAGGCAGCTGAGGCCACGAAGGTTGCTGAAGCGGAGAAGCAGAGGGCAGCTGAGGCCACGAAGGTTGCTGAAGCGGAGAAGCAGAGGGCAGCTGAGGCCACCAAGGACGTGGAGACGGAGAAGCAGAGGGCAGCTGAGGCCACGAAGGTTGCTGAAGCAGAGAAGCAGAGGGCAGCTGAGGCTACGAAGGTTGCTGAAGCGGAGAAACAGAAGGCAGCTGAGGCCACCAAGGCCGTGGAGACGGAGAAGCGTAAGGCAGCTGAGGCCACGAAGGTTGCTGAAGCGGAGAAGCAGAGGGCAGCTGAGGCTACGAAGGTTGCTGAAGCGGAGAAGCAGAAGGCAGCTGAGGCCACGAAGGTTGCTGAAGCGGAGAAGCAGAGGGCAGCTGAGGCCACCAAGGCCGTGGAGACGGAGAAGCAGAAGGCAGCTGAGGCCACGAAGGTTGCTGAAGCGGAGAAGCAGAGGGCAGCTGAGGCTACGAAGGTTGCTGAAGCGGAGAAGCAGAGAGCAGCTGAGGCCACCAAGGCCGTGGAGACGGAGAAGCAGAAGGCAGCTGAGGCCACGAAGGTTGCTGAAGCAGAGAAGCAGAGGGCAGCTGAGGCTACGAAAGTTGCTGAAGCGGAGAAGCAGAGGGCAGCTGAGGCCACGAAGGTTGCTGAAGCGGAGAAGCAGAAGGCAGCTGAGGCCACGAAGGTTGCTGAAGCAGAGAAGCAGAGAGCAGCTGAAGCCACCAAGGCCGTGGAGACGGAGAAGCAGAGAGCAGCTGAGGCTACGAAGGTTGCTGAAGCGGAGAAGCAGAAGGCAGCTGAGGCCACGAAGGTTGCTGAAGCAGAGAAGCAGAGGGCAGCTGAAGCCACCAAGGCCGTGGAGACGGAGAAGCGTAAGGCAGCTGAGGCCACGAAGGTTGCTGAAGCGGAGAAGCAGAGGGCAGCTGAGGCCACGAAGGTTGCTGAAGCGGAGAAGCAGAAGGCAGCTGAGGCCACGAAGGTTGCTGAAGCGGAGAAGCGTAAGGCAGCTGAGGCCACGAAGGTTGCTGAAGCGGAGAAGCAGAGAGCAGCTGAGGCCACGAAGGTTGCTGAAGCGGAGAAGCAGAAGGCAGCTGAGGCCACGAAGGTTGCTGAAGCGGAGAAGCAGAAGGCAGCTGAGGCCACGAAGGTTGCTGAAGCGGAGAAGCAGAGAGCAGCTGAGGCCACGAAGGTTGCTGAAGCGGAGAAGCAGAGAGCAGCTGAGGCCACGAAGGTTGCTGAAGCGGAGAAGCAGAGAGCAGCTGAGGCCACGAAGGTTGCTGAAGCAGAGAAGCAGAGGGCAGCTGAAGCCACGAAGGTTGCTGAAGCGGAGAAGCAGAAGGCAGCTGAGGCCACGAAGGTTGCTGAAGCAGAGAAGCAGAGGGCAGCTGAAGCCACCAAGGCCGTGGAGACGGAGAAGCGTAAGGCAGCTGAGGCCACGAAGATTGCTGAAGCGGAGAAGCGTAAGACAGCTGAGGCCACGAAGGCCATGGAGTCACAGAAGCAGAGATTCTTAGAACGTTTTTCGGTCCTTGAGGAGGAGAAAAAGACAGCCTTAAGAGCGGCGGAGATGGAGAGGAGGAAAATAACAAACATAATGAAGAATAAAGGTGTACGCACTTCGGATTCGGTGCCGCTTTTGGAGGGTAATCGCTCTGTTTCTGAGAGTTCGTGTAGAAATCGGTTTCGGTTTTCATGTTCAGTAATGTGACTTAATGCATATATATATATGCATATAAGCGTAAACATTACATGCATTTGTTTTTTAATCTAGATATTGTTTTTGGGCGTGTATTTTGTTCTATTGGGCTTTCTATTTGTTTATTTATTTATTTATTTATTTATTTTTTTGTCTCATAGAGGGTGGAAGCAGAGGGATGGCGATCTTTTGTAACGGACTTTAGTTTTTTTTTTTCTTTTTTTCTCTGTGTGTTATTTATTTATTTATTTTATTATTGATTACTTTAGTGTTGGGTATAACTTGTTTTTTTTTTTTTTTTATGAGCAAAGGGTATATGTGTGGGGGTTATGATTTTGCTAAGATTTATGATGCAGCCCCGTTTTTATTTTTTTTCCCTTTGATAAGACCTGTTTTTTTGTTTTTTGTTTTTTGTTGTTGTCGTTTCTTCTATCGCCAACACAAATGAATGTGGTGGGCTCCGTCCCCTTCCCCCCCCCTCCCAAAAATAAAAATAAAAATAAAAATAAAATGAAGAAACAAAAATCTGTGTTTTTGAATGTTGTTGCAGGTTGTATTTTCTTTTCTTTGTGCTTTTTTTTTTTTTTTTTTGTTTTCTTTTCTGTTTTGGGGTTGTCGTGCCGTTGGGTGAACGTGAGAAATTCGGATCTTTCTTTTTTCTGAATTTTTTGGTGTTTTTTAAATTTTTTCTTAGGGAGGCCTGCAGTTTTTTTTTTTGTGCGTGTGAAGTTTTTTGATTCTCCGTTGCAGAATTTGAGCCGTCTTCGCGTGGCATGTCTGTTGCTGAGGGTTTTCTTTCTCATGGGGAGCCTTGCACGCGGGCAGACGCGTTGGGAAATTGGCTGACGGAGCGATACTCACGATGGGAGTTTTTGGTTGTGTTTCAGCGTCAGTGGTCCCGTGATCGGCGAGCCAACCGGCTGTACGCGCCGGTGTTTCACATGCTTTTCGCGTCGCCCTTTTCTGATGCGGGGAGGGAAATGGTTGGCGCGGCTGGCGTTGCTCCATGGCAACTGATTTTCTATGATTTGTCGCGGACCTGCAGGGATGTGTTGTGGGGGACGAAGGGGGTGGATCTCATTTCGGACGTCTTGCGGGCTGTGCCGCCGGCCCTCCAACCTTCCTTCTTCTCAGTGGTGTGCGTGACTGTGGGCGACACACACGATCGTCTTGGTCTCTTTTCCGAGCAGGCCTTTAGGCACTACAAGGAGAGAGTCGAGCGGCTGCAGCGTCCACAGGAGACTCCGGAGGTGTCAGTGAAACTTCATCGCGCGATGCCCCGTGGCCGAACGACGAAGGGGAGGGACGATGGTCATCTGCCGGTGTTTGTCGAGGATGCGATAAAGTGGGCGTGCCGCAGAACATCAGAGGCAGCAGACGTGTCGGCCCCGTCCCAAGAAGGCAACGACGCCATTCTTGCCATACTCCCACGGTTAAACAAACTGCTGTACAAAAAGGCTTTCCATATGGCTGAGGATCACAATTTTGCCGATGCAGTGAGCGGTATGGGGGAAGGAGAAAATCGATCGTTGACCGACAGACGTTTGGAAGAACGTCGTGTATTTCTCCAGAACTTGAGGAGGCGTGTGGGGAACGTTGCCTCCTTCACACTGGCGTCACCAACATCTTCTGAAGAAGCGGGGCAACGGTGGCATGTTCTCATCATTCAAAAACCCTTTGTGGAAAAGGAAGAGGTGTCTATTGAAAACCTTGATCCTGGCCCACTGGAGCCACAGCCTGTCGGCGCGGAGTTGCACCTGTTGCAGGACGGCGGCGAGGTGTTGTATCTTCAGTCTCAACTATGCAGCGAGAATTGCTTTGAGACGGTGTACGGGGATATGATGCATGAGGACGGCGAACTCTTTGCGCAGCTGACACCACTGGAAGGTATTGCCTTTGACGACATTGACCGTTACTTGGACTTTATTTTGACACAACCGCAGCCATTTGGTATGGAAACACCAACAGAGCCACTGTGTAAGGGATCGTGTAGTGGCTATACATTCCCAAAGGTTGTGTTCCGTCGACCGACAGGGTCTGTTGTGAAGGATAATTTAATCGCACCTCCGCATGTGGAGATTCTTGAGGAGTCACCACGTTCACCGGAGGAATGGGATGCAGCGAGGCGCGTCTTTCTTTTCCTCTCCGATCATATTGCCCCTGTAGTTTTTGCTCCTGATAATGGTCACAGTGATGGGTGCGGTGGCTATACTCTTACTAAAGATGTGGCGCCGGTGCCACTTCCAACGCACAACGATAAATGTACATGGTGTGGTCGCCGCAGGGACAAACTGCTGCGCTGTGGCGGATGCAAGGTGGACATGTATTGCTGCAGGAAACATCAAATGATGGATTGGAAGGGTGGGCACAAGAAGTACTGCGGAATTTGGCGGAAGGCCAGAGAGGAATATGAAAAACGTATCGTACCGCTCTTGCATTCTTGCTCAATGGAGCGTCCTGAAACACGGTCCGCGTCTGCCGTCGTCACACTTCTGCAGTTTCTCATGGCTTCTTGGTGTGAGCTGCAGAGGTCCGAAGTTTCGGTAGTTCACATTGTTGGCATTGATGATGACATGACAGGGTTTCTCTCAGAGCTTTCGCAGCGCGCGAAAAACTTTTCCATGCACTGGAAACAGTTGCGTCTTCTCCTGAGCTCTGATACCTTTGGGGATGAAGAACATAATGCCGTGTATGTCATTAATGAGGGCGGTGTACTGACGAAAACAGCACCCACATCCGCTCTTGGTGACGTGTGGCATACACAGTCTGGAAAAGACGAGGGCGCACCAGAGGCCGTTATGCTTGTGCGTCTGTACAACGCAAAGTACCACATTTTTATTGGCCAAGACACTGAAATTAGTGGAGGTGCACCGTCGGCGGTGGCGTCCTTCGGGAGTCCATCAGGGGCCGGGATGACATATCTCACTGCAGTCGCTGAGGTTCTTGCGGATCGCTTTATTGGCGTTGTTCCTGTGATATGCACAGAACCAACACTTTTCGGCGCACACCACACGCTTGACGCCATACTGGAGCGGGTGAGAAGCAGCAACAAGATGAACGCAGACCGGAAGAGGAGGGTTATTGAACGCCTTTTACACGCAGATGAATTGATTCGGATAAATGTGCAAGGGATGGGTCATGAGCCTCTGGACTCGCATCTGGGGGGAGAAGGAGGAGGAGTAGGAGGGAAAACCCAGACGAATGCTGCGGACTTTGCCACGAAACTCGCCCCACTGCGGCTGCACCCCAATCTTTACTATTTTATCATTCCAGCAGAAACAGTAGAGCCGTAGATGCGCTGCATTTCTTCTTGGAAGGCGGCGATTAGAAACCGATGTACCGGTATCTGTCTACCTATTTATCTATATTTTTTCACACTATTTTTATGCTTTTACTACCACCACTTTCTTTCCCGTTCTTTTTTTGGGGGTCTACATGCATGGTGGTTTTTCCGTTCCATGTTCGCGTTCACTCAATTGGAATCCCTTTACTACAATGCTGATGCCAATAAAACTTCTCTTTTTTTTTTTTTTTTTTCTTTTTTTGATTATTCACATGTTTGTGTTTTTGTTTCTTTGGTCTGGAGGCATCATAAGAGGGCCGGCGAGGCCACGTGATGATATAAAAACGCTTCAATATTTGCGGTGTCAGAGAAAAAAAACGAGGAGTCTTGACAATAGAAAGATAACATCACGGGGAGACGCATCAAAAAAAGAAAACAACAAAAAAAAAAAAACAAGGGATAATAAGACTAGGGGGGAAAAAAGAATAATCAAACCAAACCATCAAAACGAGCAAAGCAAATAAACACACACGAAAAGAAAAGAAAGAAAGAAAAAAACAAATTCGGTGAAGCCACGAGATAAAAAAAGGTAGGATATTTAGAGAGAGAGAGAAGGAAGAGGAGGTGGGGCGGTTTCAATTTTCAATTATTAGATGACAGAGGAGGTGTCGGTGTATAGTTCGCCTCAATATGACAATGAGGCATCGCGTGGACGGTTTTCTGGCGGTGTTTTTTCTCGCCGGCCGTCTGAACTCTGCGGCTCAATTTTTAACAGGGGGCGGTTGCCGATGAAACTTCCTGCAGGCGAGGACTCCAAAAACACGGGGCGTGAGGCGTCGTCCGACAAACTCGCTGGCGGTGCGGCATCTTTTCCCCGGGAAAAAATGGCGGATGAGCAACGCTTGGAGCCCCGGCAACGACCGACTTCTTCAGAGGACAGGCCGCCGTCCTGGACTTACGGGTACAAGTCGAACCTGGACAATTCGCTGCTGAACATTGGGGAGTGGAGCCAGAGTGAAAGTTCAGCGTTGCCGGGACCTGCTCCGCCGCAGGAAAAAGATTTGAAAGTGGGCGGCGAAAAAGACTTTGAGACGAAGCCACGAACAAAATTTTGTAGTGTTGGATTGCGCGTGCTGGTCATCACGCACGTTCTTTTGTCAGTCGCTTTTGTTACGGTCATCTGCGTTGTGCCAGTGGAGAGAACAAGAAAGACATTGGATTTGGCCATTCATTTCTTGGCAGACTTCTCATCGGAAATGGTGGCAAACGAAATTGCTAATAGATTTACATTTCTTTCGGAGACTGTAGGTTCCGTCTTTCACAGTCTGCAGTTTAACCAGACCACACCACTACGTCCATGGTCAGGCACCGATATGCCAATGGTGATGCGGCAACTTTGTGCTGTGTTGGCCACTTCTGCGTTCTCAGAGAGATTGCTTTACTTGCAGCTGAGCAGCCCTTTTACCGGATTTGGTGCGTATTGCAGTCGTCAGTATGATGGCAAAACAATTGTTGGGAAGCACGTTGCCGAAAATGTGTCTGAATATCGGTATCTTGTGGATCCAGGGACGTTGGAATACGCTAAGCCTCTGAAACCTTTTTATGATGTCTCCCGTATGACTGAGAAGGAAAATTCCATTGACTTTGCTTCTCGTAGCAACCCTTTTGTTAAAATAGCGATACCGTGGGCTGAGAGGAATGACACCCGACGGTGGTGGGTCTATTCATC